CTTTCTTTAATTAATTCCATCGAACTATACATATATACTCACACCACTCACCTCTCCACCGCTGCAAATCAAGCCAGAAGGACCATTTTCTTCTTTGACCGTGTTTTTCTTTTATTCCGTACAATGTCGTGTTCTGGTGGTGTTTCGACCGCTAGAAGCAGAGGCGGTGAGAATCGGTTTTATAATCCGCCGCCGATGAGGAAACAACAAAAGCAGAAGCAGCAACAGGCGGCGACGAAGATGCAGCGCCGGGAAGAAAGGCCGTCGATTTCCAGGACTTCGACTGAGAAGAGAACGGATCGTGAGGAATGCGCTATGTCATCTGCATCGTCATCGTCGTTGAATAATAGTGATAATAATGACAAGGATAATAAAAGGAATTATGCAAATTCCACAAATTTGGATCGATTTTTGGAGTTCACGACTCCTGTGGTTCCGGTTCAATATTTCCCCAAGGTAACAAAGAAAACCCTACTTTTATCAATCACGATTTGTTTTTTCTTCTATTTTCTAGCTTCGGCTCAATAATTCTGTGTTATTTTAATTTCTTATTAAGCAAAACCCAACAGAAAATTGAGGAATATTGTTTTATGCTACTAGTTAGAAAACGTTGTAAAGTTGAATATTTTGTAGAATGACAGAAACTCAGATAACTAGCAACTGTTAATTGTTAATAAATGCAAAATAGTGAATTGTGTTTTCTCCCGAAATGATTTGTTTAATATGAAGTCATTGATTAATCTTGTATCGCTGAAATTTCACTTTGGTGATCCTATAGACAAGCAGCATTAGAGAATGGAGAGGTAAAGAGCAAGAGCTTGGACTGCAGTCTCTGCCATACTTTGTGCTTGAGGATTTGTGGGAGTCTTTTAAGGAATGGAGTGCATATGGTGCTGGGGTTCCTCTTTTGTTGAATGTGAGTGACTCTGTAATGCAATACTATGTGCCTTACTTGTCTGGTATTCAGCTGTATATGGATCCATCGAGACCCTCCACAAGGCTGAGGTAAGCCGTTCACTCCATATCTATAATATGTGGAATCTATAGTGCCTTTCTTGACTGAGAATTTATGATGGCTCTCAAAAGTTTTTGGATCCTTATGTGGTTAATTAGGGACCGCAATTGGATTATTAGAGTAAGATTTATTGGCTTGTGGAGTCAATTCTTGAAACTTGCTTGATAGTCAATATAATCTAGGTTGTGTTGTATTATTCCCAAAGTTTTGCTGATTTGCTTTAAACTATCTGCTCTGCTTGGTCAATAATCTTAGTGAGATAAATAGAGGTTGAAGTGCAACGCGATGAGTTCTCGTGAGCTGCAAATCATTAGTTTTAATTCATCCTTGAAGTTCCGTATGTATAACATGCTTGTTGTGTTATTTCATTTTAGTGTCTCATTTTTCAACAGGAGGCATGGTGAGGAGAGTGATACCGAGTCATCGAGGGAGACAAGCAGCGATGGTAGCAACAGCGATTGTGGCATAGGAAGAAGAGCTAACAATGTTGTCCAGGGGGCTCGGAGTCAGCTGAAGGTTGCAGATTCAAATATCTCGAGACTGACCAGACTGTCACTTAGGAATAGATCCTTTGGGGGTTCATCGGGTGATGAAAGTGATAGTTGTAACCCTCCTGGTCAGCAGCTTATTTTTGAATATTTAGAACATGATCAACCATTTAGTCGTGAGCCATTGGCAGGCAAGGTAGTTCTGTTATCCTCTGTTACTTTATCATTTGTTGCTTGTTCTTTCTAATTACCATGCTTCCTGCAGATTGCAGTTCTTGCTACTCAATTTCCATCATTAAAGACATACAGGAGCTGTGATCTCTCACCTTCAAGTTGGATTTCTGTGGCATGGTATATATTTTCTTTCTTTCTTGGAAAAGTTATTCGGCTCGTTTATTGCTATTGTGATTTTAAACCCAATTATATCTGACAATTTTTTTCCTTAAATGAAGGTATCCGATATATAGGATACCAATGGGACCAACTCTGCAAAATCTGGATGCCTGCTTTTTAACCTATCACTCTCTGTCTACACTGTCACCAGGTAAGCATCTCATCAGCCCTTTATATATGGTTGAATATTCGTATTGTCTTCGATAGGCACTTTGTACAATGTGTTATTATATATTTTGGTTCAGGGTCCAGCATCAGCATGGATGGGTTCCCCTTCCGAGGCTTTAATATCAGGGAGTTTCATGGTGCTAACATGTCCTTGAGGATACCATTACCCACATTTGGACTGGCTTTCTATAAGTTCAAAGTTTCATTTTGGAATCCTGATGAAGTTATTGAATCCCAGAAAGCTAATTCCCTTTTACGAGCCGCCGATAGTTGGCTCCGGCTTTTGCAAGTGAATCATCCTGATTTCGGGTTTTTTGTTTCCCATAATACATACTGGAGGTGAGCCAAGTTGTAAAGCATCAACGCAGTCTGCCACTTAACTCGGAACAGAATCGCCATTTCCTAGCAGGTAACACTTGCAAACTACCCATTGATGGTTGTGATTATGATGCTCTATCAGGAATTGATTATGGTAAAGAAAAAAAAGTTGAGAGATTATGATGCTCAACAACAAAAAAGTAAGACATATTTCGTTTCATCTGGTGAGTTTCTAGTGATAATCATGGCTTTGAAGTGATAGATGTTAATGGCTACGCCTAAAGCATCTTAATAACTTGGTTTGATTTTGATGATCAAGAAGAAAATATGTGATATTTGTATGTACTTTTTCTTAGTTCCAAAATGACTACTTGTACTAACATTTTTATAGATAAGACATGAAGTTTAGTATACACCATTGTATTCTTCAACCCTTGCCGCACAAATATACGATTGGACAAGTGTGGAGTTAATTCCTTATATATAGTTTGTGGATAATATTTTTATTTTAGGTTGAAATTTATTTTCAAACAGAATTAAAGTTTTAGGCCGAGTAATATTAAAATCAATTACACCAATTATATATAAAAGATTGATTTTTTATTATTGTGTATATATTGAAATTTGAGGCAAAAAAATAGCAGTAAAGTTTTGAATTTTACAAAAACAACAAAGCAGAGAAAAGATGACGATATGGTCTTCCAAGTTTAAAAAAATTGCAAGGGGTAAAGTGAGATAAGTGTTAAACTTTAGGGGGTAAATTATGTGTTTACCCCATTTTTTGTAAAATATGGTTTCCGGTTTCATCCTAACTTCCTCTTAATTTCAAATTTGCGTATAACGGAACAAGTATATAACTTCGTAAAGGTACAGTGACAAAATCACTCCTTCAATATTTGTACGGACGATCATGGTCATTTAATTCTTGTTCCTTTTTTAAGCACTTTGACTCTCATTGTTTTAATTTTTAGTCATAACATATATTGTTAGATGAAAATCTTTGGTTAATTAATGATCTATGTTGTTAAAATAATATTTAATTATTGATGTGATATATATCATATCATTCAAAGTGATGAATTGATATATGTCACATTGTTTAAAACGATCATGTAGTATATGACATGTCATTTAAGGACGTGTTAGGATTGAATTTTTAAGGAAACAAGTTGTTAACTCTAAAATAAAAGGGTATTAAAAAGTGGTAAAATCATAAAAATTAAGAGATTAAGGATATAACTTCATTAATTTTAAAATTTAAAGGTCTTAAAATGTAGTTAAATCTGATAAATTTAGGAATAATGTTTAATTTTATTAATTTCAAATTTGATAGTGTACTAAAAAGTATTATTATTTTTTGAATGAATTATATAAAAATATTAATTTAAAATTATATATGCGTATAATATATTCAAATATATTATTTAAAATAAATAATTGCGATTTTAACTTAACCATTAAACAAATATATGGTTTTAACCATGATGCATTGATATGAGCTCAATCAGTCCTAAACTAGTATTAAGTAATATAAGTTATGTTTTGATCAACATTTTAGTATGTTTGATTTGCTCTGATTTATTTTAGATAATATCGTTTTGTATCAGTACATATTAACATGTATTGATTAATACAAAATTTAATATTTTTAATTATTTTTACATAATTATTAAAAATGAATTGTAGTCATTTAATTAAAAAATTTAACTTAATTCAAATTATTTATTTATATAAATTTATTTTTATATACGTAACTAAGGTGTTATTTCAAAAAAAAATTATATATTATATATAACACAAATATACCTTAATTATATAATTTTACATAACTGATTTTGTATAATAATAACAAAATCAACAAGTAATTATTATTAAATGGTATATATTATCCCAAAGTTATCCAGTTCTCGTTTTGTCTAGGGATGTCATTCGGTTGATTTGGTCATCAACTAAATCGAATTTCTTTAACTAAATTAACTGAATTTTTTCTTGTAACTGTTAATTGAATCAATTTTTTTAAAAAAATATTAATATAAAGGAAATGATTTTTTTTTAGTTAGATTAATTTAAATTTAGCAGATGTATTTTTTATTTGACTTAAAATTTAATTAGGTATAGATAATTTGATGAGTCTAGTGTGATTAGAAAATAATTGGGTCATAATTCTCAATAAATTTAAGCTTAAAATATGCATTTAATATATATATATATATATACCAACAAAGCTAGGGGTATCAACGTTCAATGTCAAATGGTTGAAAATTATATTTAAACATATAATATATATACATTAATAAAAAAATTAAATTTCTCTTAATTCCAAATTTTATTAAAACTAAGGGACTGTTTATTTACTTCAGAATGATTAAACGCTGAATGATTCAAATGTTGAATGATTCATAGGCTATATATGAATTAACTCTGAATGTGACATGTTGTTTGATAATAGCTCTGAATCATTCAGTGTGTACTTTTATGCTGAATCATTCAGTACTGTTTTGTTAAATTAATCAGCATTGAATCATTCAGAAATGATAAACAAACACGCTGAATGTTGAATAGTTTCATTCAGAGTCAAACAAACATCCCCTAAATATATATGTAATTCAGTTAACCCGACAGCTTGCTTTTGTAGCTCAGTTGGTTAGAGCACCCGTTTAGTAAGCGGAACTCAATGAGAGCACTTTCAGTTTTTTCCCCTTCCATATATCCGAACATGGGTACTGCAACAAACTGGTACCTTTTCTTGGCAACCACAGGAAACTACGTAGAATTGGATGCTCGTAATCATCATCCATACACAAATGATGAAATATATACAACACCCCGACAAAAAAATGATATATAGCTTCATCCCTTCTTTTTTGTTTTCACCAAGTTGATGACATCCGAAACCTTGAATGATTTCTCGAGGATATCGGCAACCGTAAGCTTCATCTCAACTGTCATCCTCTCAAATATAGCCGTCAATATATTCACGTCCGACATGGCTCTATGTGCTGTTGCATTTGTTGTGTCAATGCCAAAGTGTTTACTCAGTGCCTGTAGTGAGTATTGTCTCGATCCGTTCAACTTCATCCACTCTCGTCCAAGGGGACCGGTGTCGAAGAACCAATAACTATATGGAATATCCATTGAACAAAGGGAGAATTCCTTCATTAAGAAGGGTACATCAAAACAACGCGCATTGTGAGAAATGAAAAGACAAGGGCTCCCGGGAATCCGTTGACGACTTCTGATAAAGCGCAGTAGGATCGGAATGAAGTCGTTCATCCTAGTCAATACGGGAAACAATCATCCACTATAAAGACAAATCAATGAACTAAAACTTAAGTAGTTGCAGATTGGTAAGAAGAATAATGTACCTAGGGACACCTGGTTGATTCACCATGGCAGTTGAAATACCATGAATGTGAGAATTCGGAACATGTCGGTCAGGATTAATCAGGGTGTGCAAGCAATTGTTCTTGCCCCCCGAAAGATCTCGGATTGCAAATTCGATAATCCGTCCAGTCTCTCTGCAAAATCCAGTTGTTTCAATATCGAAAACAAACATACTTACAAGTTGCTTCGGGTCTTGGCTCTCTAAAATCTGGCGTTTGGCATCACAAAACTGGGTGCTCGTAAAGCAACTTGAAACCGAAGAAACAATATTACTGCTTGCCTGCACTTGTCCATCCATGAATTCATGCCTAACGTTACTTGCTTCGCTTTTCGTACTGTCTCTAGTTCTTAGACCACTTTCTGTTGATTTAGGTCTCAAAACCGGTGGCCTGTGTACTTTCCTTTGTTGAAAAGGCTCAAAATTATTCGATCCACGCACACAAACCCCATGAGAACATCTTAGCTTGTGAAAATTGTGTGACAAACAGCTTACACATGCCGATCGAAAGCATGGTAACGGCTGGATTCTGCAACTACGAAGTTGCATAAGGGAAATGCAGATAGCACCGGTCATCGATTGGGCTCGACCGACTGCGGAAACAAGTAAACAGCTTGAGGTGATAAATAGGGAATAGAATGTTAATCAAAACGATGGCATGAACTTGTGGAACCTTTGTTGCTTGCCATTGCCACTAGCTTCACTTCCATATGTTCATCAAAATTCAATAATGATGACAACACAATGTCCCAGATTTACCAAACAATTATGGTTCCCACTAAGAAATGAAACTTTATTTCACAGCATATAAGAACCGAAAGCAAAGCTAAATAATAAAAAGAAAGTAACGCGTTTGCAACTAACACACCCAACTAGACTATGAATACAATATGCTTACGAGCAACAATCATTAAAACCCAGAAAATTTCTGAGATTAAATCACACCATTAACTTTAAAAAGAACCCAAATCAAGAATCAGGGAATTATTCAAATACAATCCAAAGAAGCACAGAATAACAAAACAGTGACAAGAAAAACACTACCTTTTAAGGGAATTCAAAAAAACTGAGAACTACAATGGACAATCAAACTGCCATTTTGAAGTGAAAGGGGCGGTTTTTATGGAAGACGAAGCTATGGTGAGTGGCAGATATAATAGGACGGATTTTGCAAGTTTGAATCCCTAAAGTGTACGGGGAGTGCGCGCTTTTCCAATTTCCAGTTCGATGGACAAAGGTGAAGAACCTTTCTTGGCGCTAGTTCAGCCCAATCAAACGCCCATTCTTGAAGAATAATGCTGAAGGACCAAAACCCAAACTTAAGATCGACTTTACAAATCAAACTTCTTAGATTCTATGTGGATGAATGGTGATAAGATTTATTATTAGATTATCGAGTTTGAATATTATAGTGGTAAGATATATGTAATACCCGTGATTGTACATTTTATTTTATTTTAATTATATAGTTAAAGATTTAATCTTTTGTAAGAACGAGACATATATTGGGCCGGGATTCTTCTGTTTCGGATGCTAAAGTTCGTTGAAAGAGTGTTTGTTTGTCAAATTCTGAGGGCAGGCCGAGTATTAAGGACCTTTATTGTATGAATAAGGTATGTTTATTCCAGATGATGATAAATGCTTTGACTGATGAGGGATCATTATTGGTCGTGTGGGTGAAGGCTTATATGATTAAGGAGAATGATTTTTAGACTGTTGAGATTAAGGATTCGGCCAGTTGAAACTTACGGAAAATATTCTCATTAAGGGAGGCTTGCTTAATTTGTAATGTTCTGGTTCGTAGAGTGGTGACGTTGAGGGAGATTTAAGCAGAGGTACGAAGTAGCGAGGATGACACAAACTTATTTAATTTCCGTTACATGTTTCCAACCATGCGATGATTGTTTGGCTTGTCATTTTTAATAGGTTGACGACAAGAGATAAGTTGTTAAAAATGAGATTGATGGTGAGTAAGCGGTGTGCGTTGTGTGACGAGGCTACCGAATCTCGTGATCATCTCTTTTTAGATGCTTTTTTTAATTGGCATTTGAGAAAAAAAAGTTCTCGACTTGTGTAACATGGATAGGATTATTCGCTCCCATGGGCGATTAGTACTCCCAAGGGTAAGTCCATGCTCGTCATCATTCTCAAGTTGGCTTGCGAGTGTTTCTTTATTTGATATGAGGATTTTTCATAATTTAACAAGGGGAAGATGTTATTCATGATTTCGGTTAAGGAGATTGTTAGATTTTAAATTTAGAGTAAAAGGATAAACATGATTAGTTTTGTAGATTCTACATTTTGTATAGAGTGGAGTCTTATCAAATTTTATTTGATGTTCTTGATTCTTTATAGCAACTTGCTATTTTCTTTGGATACTGTACACTCGATTAATCTTTAAAAAGAAGGAATGAAATATGTTTCATCATTTACCAGTACACAAAAGTATACGTGGTTGGCTCTCAAACTGAATAGGTATATCATAGATAATAATATTTAGTATAGATATTTGGCTTTATTTAATAAGCCACGACATCAGTTTAGTGTTAGTTGTCTATAAAATATATTCTTTATTTTTTTTACTTTTCTATATCGTATATTTTTTTTTTTATTTTTTTTATTTTCAATAACTCTGCCTTTACAATACAATTTAATCTATCCTTTGATATTTTTGTTCAAAAAGAAAAATAATCTACCCTTTGATATGTTTTTTCTTTTATCTTTTTTTATTGATTGATTGATTATTCTTTTCATTTTATTTTCTCATGGTTCCATTTGATGTTACTTCGACTTATCAATATGACACTTATTTATTATTCTGGTGATTTTCTTTGCTATGGACCTTAAATTTGATTTAGATATGCAGTTTGCATTCAGAAATAATTACGCTCTACTCTGATTTACGATTTTCAATAGTATTTCAATAGGTTGATTCTATGTTGTGATTCGTTTGTTTATACAATCAGATATGTTTGCATCTATTTTTTTCAAATTTTTTAATTAGATTTTAGCCTTTTCTTGTGTGATCTTTATATGATTTTAAGTGGATAGGAATATGTTCTAACTTTTATTATAATTTTAGATATTTCTTTCAATAAACTAGCAATTTCTATTTATATAAGAGAAGATAAAGAGGTCCAAGTGTGAGGGTATGGAATGGTGGCAGTCTAGCAGAGAGATACTTGGTAAATACTAAACAGCAACGAGTATAAAATTTTATGTAAGATAATAATTTATAGAATTTTAAAATAATAAAAACTGATTATTAATAAAATAATAAATATTTAAAATTTTCAAAAATTACGATATTAATTAGTGACCCATCGGTTCATCACAAAGCAGACATGTAGCATGTTTTTTCCTCTCTTTGGACACTTGACAGTGAGCAAAGTTGGCAGTGGAACCATCCAATAATGCACGTTGACTTCGTCGTATGAAGCCAATAAATCAAACCTCAAAATAATAACAACAATAATGCAAACCTGATGACACCATCCCCACTCCCCCTTTCCCTCTTTTCCTTTTCAAAACTGGGAATGGACTCATCAGATTCATGCTATGGCACCTATTGCTACGATAAAAAAATAAATCAATATTTAAAAAAAACAGTTACCGTTTAGGTATATTAAACCTATCAAACAACTTCGATGATAGAAGAGAGTATTGTTATATTAGAGATTTTAAATTTAAACAGTTGTGTCTGCAAGATGTGTGTATGTGATTAATAATTAAAAAAATTCTAAATAGACATTATATTGTAATCATTCCAGATTATTAAAATATATTTTTAATAATCGATGAAATTTAAAGATATTTTAAAAATGAAATGAGTAGAGATATTCTCAAACGTTCTCCATATTATTCACATGATCACCCTCACTTGTCAAATTGATGCATGGAACATGTAAAATCATGCCAATCGCTTCCTATTTCTAAACACTCACTGATGTTAATATTTCAATCAAGTTTGGTTTTCTCTTAATAATTTGGTTCAAGAACCAATCTTTGACGAATATAGAGAATATGTATTCGAATAATTATTACAAGAAATGTATTCGAATTAAGCCCACGTATGGTAGAATTTAAATTAAATAAAAATTGAATTAAAAAATCACATATGATAATTGTACATGATGAAACTCTATCAGAAATAAACTAACCACGAGTCATTCTCCTTTGAGATTAACTGACTAAAATAAAAAAATTGAAAACATTATAATAAAAAGAAGACAAAAATATTATGAGAAAATTACCAAGTACAGAAAATGAAGGGGATGATTGAGTGATAAATTCAATGAGAGAACTTCATCATTGTGGTCATGATGGCAATCAAAACAATGAAGATGAAGATAGAAAATGGTGGTGTTGAGAGTATTGTTCTTTCATAGGCTCCGATTCTGACGTTTGGATTTTTTTATAAATCTATTAGGACAATGGATTTTGAGGAATTAAAAGAAATACAAAGATGGGAGAATGGAGATTAAAGAGAAAGATCAGTTAAAATTATTGTTTTATAACTAAATGGTGTCAGGTTAGCGCTTAACACGTCACATTAGTTTTTCTTCATCTACAATAATGATTGTTAACGTCAAACGATCAATTTATTTTAAATCGATAACATCACTGACCAAATCATTAGTTTTAGATCATCAGTGCGGAAAAAATATTCAAATATATATAACTATTTATGTAGTTTATCTTAAAAAAACTTGCTAAGTGTAGCTTGAATGCCCGGAGATGTGGATCTAATCGCCATGTTTCCAACTTGTACACCAAAGGATGAGGGCCACGCTCAATGCTATAGTTCAGGAAATAATATATTAAAAAAATAATATGATATAAATATATAGATTTTCTAATTGTTTATACAAAAATTATTAACCTTTTGAAATTTATATAAATATAAAATGTTTTAAAAGGAAATTATTTAATATATTATTAGTAAAATGTATTAAAAGAAACTTACAAATATTTTTTATAGAACCTATGAATAAAATGTGGCGATTTCATTAAAATAAAAAATAATATTTAATTATATATATTATTATTAAATCAAAATATTACATCATAAAAAATTAAAATTTAATTATGTAGTTTTCAGAAATAAAAATAACACGTTAAATGTATGCATTTTGTTTTGGATAATTAATAATAAACTTTTAATATTTGTGTTTGTCATTTATGGCTAAAGGGACATTATACAAAGAAACGCACGTACGATGCAAAAGCGTAGGTCCTTCCCCTCTCCGCGTTGATTTTCCATTTTCTCCTCTTTGGATGGGACCCACTCTATTTGGCTACCACAAAAGCAACACCACGTGTCCACTCCTGATATTCAGAACGAGATCATCCAATACGTCACGTCTTTTGCATCCCTGCTGACGTGTACCTCTTCGAAATGGATCTGTGGGTCCCACGCTTCCCCTTCCATCTGAGTCCCCTTGTCCCATGTGTCGGGATTGTTTCAGGAAAGACAGACTAATATAAGGTGTTACTGGATACTTTAAAAGATTTTTAATAAATTTGGTTTAACGCTACCGAAAATATCGAGTAATAATAATGTAATATGTGGAAATCATAAAGAAATGTTAAAAAATTTGGCAACCGACAAACTTAGCTTGTCGGTTTGTATCGATACTTTATAAAAATATATTAATCCATAATAATATAACAGGTAAAAAAATGACAAAACCGGTCTATAAATGACAAAACAGGTAAAGCGTTACTGGATATATTGAAAGTGTCGATACTTTATAAAAATATATCGATCCATAATAATATAACAGGTAAAAAAATGACAAAACCGGTTTATAAATGACAAAACAAGTAAAGCGTTGTTGGATATATTGAAAGTGTCGATACTTTATAAAAATGTATCGATCCATAACAATATAACAGGTAAAAAAATGACAAAACCGGTCTATAAATGACAAAACAGGTAAAACGCTATTGGATATGTTGATAGTGTCGATACTTTATTTTAAGTATCGACACTTTTGGAATTTAAAAGAGAAGAAGTTATAGCGCTAATAAAGTGTCGATGCTTTATAAAAATGTATCGATCCATAACAATATAACAGGTAAAAATATGACAAAATCGGTCTCGAAATGATAAAATCGGTAAAGAGCTACCGGATATGTTGAAAGTATTGATACTTTATTATAAGTATCGACACTTTTGAAATTTAAAAGAGAAGAATTTATAGTGCCAATAAAGTGTCGATACTTTAT